AGCAGAATGGAGGTTTTGGTGCCCTGATGAGCAGCAGACTGAGCACCACAGATGAGCAGAAAGGAGGTGCAGGTGGGCAAGGGGGGCAGTCACCACCTGGTGGAGGGCACCTGAATGGAGAGGGGCCTGTGAAAAGGGTTAACAGTGAAAGGTGATGAGACCAAAATTGAGAAATTAGGGCAGTGTGAAATCAGCATGCACGGGAGGGAGAAGGAGGTGAGGGCTCACCCCTTCTCAGATGTGAACACCACAGATTCTCTCAGCATCCCAGGTCTGCCTGCCCACGGGCTTTTCTTAGTGGGGAGCCCAGTGTTTAACCCATGGATGCTGGCCAGGGAGTATTCAGGTAGAGGCTTGCAGCCGTCGCTCTCTGGGGTGAACTGCCATGCTGGACTTTAGGGGACCAATGTCATGGAAGAGGGTCACATGCTCCTGAGTAAGTTTTGCCTCAGGAAATGGCCCAGCACAGGTGATATCTGATGGCTTTTCTTGTCTCAATCGAAAAAAAGTAGCCTTTCCCATCATGTGGTTTTAATAATGGCCACTTAAAAATAACTTCAGAGGTGAACATGTTTTCTGTTTTCCCATCAAAAAAAAAAAAAAAGACTTCCAAGCGGTTGATAAAGAAGTCTTTAGATTAAGGTTAGAAAGCTTATTCTGGGATGTATTGTCCCTTATGTGGTGGTTACATGCCATGGAATCAGTTCCAATTCATAGCGACCCTCTACCGTTTCCAGCTGTAAATCTTGATGGGAGCAGGAAGTCTCATCTTTCTCGCACAAATCAACCAGTAGCTTCCAGTTAGCAGCCCAACCTGTAACCAACCTACTGTGTTAGCAGGGTTCCTTGTTGCTTGTACAATAAGATATTCGTCATCCTTCAAAATGTGTCTTAGTTTTGTCTTTTTTTTTTTAAAAAAAAAAAAAAAAAAAAAAGGTGTTTTAAAACATTTTCTCATTGCCCAGGTTTGCTAGGACTTTGTGGAGGAGGCTAGGTAATCGGGAACCACGTAACAGATTCAGAAATTCAGAGCCAAATACGTACAACTTAAATACTGACAAGTAAAGTTTGGACATTTTCTGACTGCTGAAAGAAATACGTGTCTTTCAGTGAATTTGCTTATCGCTCAAATCCTAAAGAAATACTGGGTTACCCACCTTCGGGAATACAGCTGGTCTAAAATTTCAGCTGATTCACAAACGGTGAGAAAAGGCAGAAGAGAAAGTTAAGGGTAAAAAAAAAAAATTACACTTTTTTAAAAGGTGACAAGCCATAAACCTCAGCCACTTTTAGCAGACGTGTTTATGAACAGAAACCAAAGATCATATCGAATAGAAAATAAATTCCCTCCTTGGCCCAAGGCCAGTACCTCCCTGTAGAGTGGCACACAGAGTGGCCCTCACGTGAGCTTTGAACCCCAGCCTGTACTTCAAGTCCAGCCAGGGCAGCAGCCCCCACCAGCAGGAAGAAGAGGACATAGAACAGAGGATCACTGCCTGCCCCCTAGGATATACACCCACCCACCCCCAATCAATATCTGGAAGAGAACTCCCGAGAAGCATAGCAAGGTTCCTGACAGTTTAGGGAAGGTGGAAGGGGCCTTTGGTTCTAAGCAGCTGCTAAGATCAGTAGCAAACCACTTGCCACTAATTTAGTTGTGTACCCCGCCACAGAGGATGCAGGGCAAGTGTAGCGTTCATCTACAGGGCTGAGAGGGGTACAGGGGTGGTCTTTTCAGGAGGTAGGAGCTTCGGGGCAAAAGCAAGCCACTTCCACAAGTTCCCTGTGAATGGACACTCCAGGGCCCCACAGGTGACGTGAGGTGACCTCACCACAGGCCTGCTCACTCACTCCAGCCTAGACTCAGATTGCTCAGTCTAAATCCAAGCTCTGCCACTTTCTATGGGACTTTGGGCAATTCCCTTAACCTCACTGAGCCTCAATTTACCCAACTGTAAAATGGGAGAAAGACCATTTGAGTATCTGCTCGTATTATTTTTACCTGTGAAATGTCTGGGTAGTTTCAGGAATGTGGAGGCAGGGACCTGTGGACCAGGGACACAAGCAGAGACCCTCCCCATTACAAAAGCAGCCCACAAGTGGTTACTTGGCTTTGTCTGGTCCACCCTCCCAGCAGCCCATGAGCTCTGCACACCCACGGTTCTCCCAGCTCCAGAGAGTCCAGCCCTTCTCCAGCAAACACTGCCTGCCTTTGTGTTTCCCCTCACGAATCAACTTTGGGGCAATATCATCATATCACCACTCCGGTTTGCCAAGAAGAAAATAACTTTCTTTTTTCTAAGAAAAACAGTAAGAAGAAGAAAAAAAAAAGACACACTCACATTCCTGAAAGGATTCAAATATCATTTAAAGGCTTTCGTCAGCGATAGCAGGAAATCAAGCAGGTTGTCTCCTAAATTTTATAGTCTCCTTGCTCACTCTCTCAGATTAAACCCAGGAGATGAGCAGGAATTTAGCACGGGACCTGAGCGAGGTACCTACAGCTCCTCCTCGCTTACATCCACGACAAAGAGCGTTTACAGTCCGCCTTCCCTTCCTCCCTAAGATGCCCGCCGGCAAAGCCGTGATGACCAGGAACCAGGGTCCCCCAATCCGCACATCGCTAACCCGATGGGAGAGGCACAATCCCGGTAATCCCGGTTTTACTGAAGGTACTCGGCGACCAAACCCAAATTTCTCTCCCGAGGGGGCAGGCAAAGGCCAGGAGCAGCTGGCCCTGAGGTGGGATGAGTTTCAGGTGAGGGTCCAACACAGGGGGTGGGAGAGGCTCGCAGGTTAAGCGAAGACTAAGGGGTCCCTCTGAAACAGACAAGAATAGGAAAGGAGGGGAACCCAGGTCCAGCGGTAGGAGTGGTCCTTAGGGAGAGTGGAGGGAGACAGAAAATAGAGGGGGGGATCCCAGGTCCAGCGCAGGGTGGGGTTCCTCGGGTTCCAGTGCAGAAGGAGGGGTCCTTTGGGACCAGGAAAAGGTGGTGGTGAATCCCAGGTCCAGCGGAAGGAAAGGACATTCCGGGTCCCCCAGAGGGAGGGCTCCCTTGGGGGCTCTTATAAGTCTTAAAGGGCGGGTCACAGCCCCTTCCACCGGAAGGCCTCGACTCCTGGCCGCGCCGGTCCTCCCCGCGCCGCCACACTCACCAGGCGCTCTGGGCTCCCGCCGCGCGCCCACCGAGCCGTCCCGGTGCAGCAGGATATCCGCCGTGTCCCTGATGCGACGCCGGCTGCCCGGAGCGCCCCGAAGTCCTCGGCAGCCCTGGAAGCACACGGCCCACGCCTGCTCCTCGTTGATGGGTTGCTCGTACGCCTTCAGCACCTCCTCCAGGGACAGCTCCCAAGGGTCCTGTGGCTCGGAGCCCCCAGCCCTCTCTGCGTCGCCGCTGGGGCTGCCGGCCCGGGCCATGGCCGCCCCATTATCGCCGCCTGCGCGCCGGGCCGGTTTCCATAACAGCCGCGCCGGGCCGGCAGACGCAGCCCCGCGGAGGCGCGGGGGGCGGACCCCGCGCCGCCCGCCCGTGCTGTGTCATCCACTGCCCCGCCCCGCGAGCCGCCGCAGGTGAGGGCGGGGCCTGTGGTGGGGCGGGGCCGGAACGGGCTCGGGGCGCAGGGCTGGGGTGATGGGAGGGGCAGGATAGGGCATGGGCCTCAGGGGCGGGGATGTGGGAGGGAGCCTTGGGGAGGGGGCCGGGGGTACCGAACTGGACGCGGGGCGCAGAACATGATTAGGGGAGAGGAGTGTGGGGTTGAATCCTGGAGGCCCAGACAAGGGGGCGAGGGATGCAGGACCCAGGCAGAGTAGGACGGGGAAGAGGTGCTGGAATGGGATGCAAATCTGGGAGAGGGCGCAGTGAGCCACTCCAGACCAGAGCCCTCTCTCACGCACCCACATCTGTGCGGTGTCCAGCCATTCAGCCGAGGACATTCTGCAGCCCCTCCTCCCCCATTTGCTCCCTGGGGAATGCGAGAGGGCGTGAGGAGTGCTGACCAAACGCACACACACAGAAACACACACATTGGACGTGGGTTCCGAGGGGCAGCAATGCTGTCTTTGTGGGAGCCGGTTGGCAAGCAGAATTCAGCTGATTACAGTGGGAGTAATCCCACTGGAGCAAATCCTCAGGCATGAAACCTTCTTGAGTGATATTCCCTACGTGAAAAGCAAACACCAACAACACAAGGCTCCCTTCTCAGACATGCATGTCTCCATCCTCAGCCCACCTCACTTGCTCCCACAAACACAAGTGGCTTCATTTCCAGTAATTGTTGTTAAGTGCTGTCAAGTCGATTCCTACTCAGAGTGACCTGGTGTAGGGTTTCCAAGGAGTGGCTGGAGAGCTTGAACCATTGACCTTGAGATTCCAGCGCATTAACCCACAGTGCCCCACAAAGGACAAGAGGCCCAAACCTGGCTGTCCACTGTAGTTACCTGGGGCACACATAAAACGCAAATTCCTGAGCTCTGAGCTGGGGAGTCTTAACCCTGAAGATTTGAGATGAAACTTGGGACTCTCCTAATTCATTTATTTTAGGGTCCCTGGTAATTCTGAACACATGAGCATGAAGATCCCATGGACAGTTTCACCTCAACTGAAGGAGGTTTAAAGGGTGATGGAGACTGTAATTTCTGGTTCTTCTATTAGGGAATCTCATCTGGGGTTATAATCTTCAAATAGGAAGTACATAGTTTGATGAAAGATGACTTCTGCTTACAATTGCCGTGATCAGTGTTCCCCCCTCATGCCCAGGCCTGCAGAACTCAACTGTAGGAGCACTGAACTTTCTAGAAGGAAAAGTGGAAAGAAGCTGAGGTAGGAATCATGCTGGTGTCTTAAATGAATTGTGCAGAGGACCCAGAACTCAGGTTGACCTTCCTCTGTAGTCCTTACCATCCCCTCCTCCGAATGGTTACCCGTGAGGATGGATAAGAAGTTCCAAGCTCTGCCTGGGAGGGAGCATCAAGCGCAAGAAACCCTAAGGGAGTCTCATCTACGTAGATGCATCGGAGTCCACTCAAGTGACATAAGGAAAGTTCCTGACTCAAGTCATGCCACATGTGTGGTTGTGGGGAAGTGGTGATGTCACTGACGGGCCCACACACAGATGGTCTCTGCTTTTAGATTCCAGTGGTAGCGCCTCACTAAGAAGCGTTCACCAACAACTCCCCAGAAACCGGGACTCCTGAACCCCGCCCCTCCCTAGTAGTGGAGGCATCTTCAGGAGACACCCCAACACCACCTGTGTAAACAGGAAGTGAGGAGCCTCTGGTAGGCAGCCTACACAAACAACTGGGGGATTTGCACAGGAATATGGGAATTACCCTAATGGAAGGAAACTGACTGGGTTCTAACACAGAATGTCTTCTTTCTTTCAGTTACTGATAAGCAACTGCTGGGGTTAGACCTGGTGGTGACTCCTGCCTGCCTGTCTCTGGTGGTTCTTGGAGGTCTCCTGTGCATACATACAATAGCCCCCTTTGAGTAGGCATTGTTTCTTTTTAAAGAGATCTCCGTGTACTTTCCAAGACATCAACCGACAAGATTTAGAACACTGGGGTAAACTCACCTTTGTGGGGGCCATACCACACCCAGGAATTTTTACATGTGAGCAAACCACATGGTGACTGGTTAAAGTGAGATTTAGATTTATCCCAGGTGAAAATAGCAGCTGAGTGAAAACTTAACTGTAAAAATTCATTAGCTGTTTGTCCAAGAGGATGCAACACAGGGCATCAGAGTCAAAGAAATATTAGTTCCACTGTAACTTGAACTTGTCATTTGGATTCTCGAAATTCAAGAGTGTATTTCTGGCTGTTAGAAACTCAACTGAAGAGCAGAGGGAAAATTGATCTTGGTTAATCATTAACTTAACCTGAAAACTTTGCATCAAGGTTATTTACACAGTTCTGGGAATCTCCTTTAGCCTACTCCTAAAGAAATGTGTTCCTTATACTTCATTTTCAGTAGATAAGAAAATCCCACAGAACAGCATGTTATGAGTAACTATGGACTACTCTGCTTGCGTATGACCAGAGACATTTGGTACCATCATGATTTTACTGATGCTTGGAATTGGAAAGTCACCATATCAACTCATCACATTAACAAAGATGCTCCCAAAATATTCACTGTAGCGCAGAGGCGATTCATTCACACGTTCACTGATGTCTGATGCCTGTGTGAGGGAGGAATAGGGAAAACCTCACAGCTAGGTTGCAGTCCTCCAACTTTTGGCTCAAAGGGAAACTGGACCTAGTACAGGTCTTGGGAGGATCTTGGTGCTAAGATGTGAGTGGGAGCCACACCAGTGATGTCTTTTTCCCAGGCTCTGTAGTTGGATGTATTAGAGAGAGCCAGAAACTATGTTCCTACATTGACTGATGTGATGGGGAGGGAGGACTGGAGTTGCCCAGAAATGAAACAGCTCAAGGATTCACACCTCTGAGCACCTCTGCAGACTCGGAGGCTGGAGGTTCTGAATGTTAGGCTTCTAGTAGCCAACGTGGCCACGTATGGCTAGACCCCCAAATGTGCTGGGGTCTACAGTGACACCCATCCATCCAGAGGAGGAGTTGCAAAGCAAAAACTCCCAAGTGTCTTGGGAGAAAGATCAGAGGGGGCTGGGCGCTTGGGTGATTGGGTTTAAGAGCAAAGATGGCTTCAGATCAGAGGCCTCTCCCACTTGCCTGGCAGAATCGCCCCCTGTGCTGGGTGTCTTGCAGAGGTTCCCAGTCCACACCACAATGAAAAGCAGGTCGGGTTTTCCCTAGGGGCTCCGTGCAGTGGGCCATTTGCCTCCTGTTACCACAACTCAGGCCCCTGAATACACTCTTTGTCACCTGGAGGCAACGGGGTGGAGCCCTCAGCTGCAGGCACAGCTGAGCTTAGGTCTAGGCGGAAAAGCTGAAATTCTAGAGGTTGTGGTTTTGTGTGCTAGGTTTATTTTGGGATAACGAGAAAGGCCATGAATCCTGAGGTGAGCCAGATTGGGCCAGGCTGTGCTTGATCTGGGAATGGGACACTAGGACAGCTTCAGGGAGGGCTCTGGACTGAACTGGTGGTTGTGAAGTCGTAGAGGTGACATGGAGCTAAACACAACAGCAAGCCAGAGAAGGTCAGGAGCACGAGCGTGCCCATGGCCAGGTGAAGAGAGGAAACTGGAGAACAGCAGAGAATGTGAGGGACTGAAATGACCGGCTTAGCTGCTGTCTGTGGAATAGGTTGAGAAGTGGGGGCACTTAAAGGGGAAGTTGTTGTGTTGTTAAGTGCCATCGAGTCGATTCCGACCCATAGAGACCCTGTGTAGGGTTTCCAAGGAGCAGCTGGTGAGTTTGAACCACCAACCTTGCAGTTCAAACGACTTTGCAGTCTGACGCATTAACCCACAGCACCACACCAGGACTCCACTTAAGGGGGATAGTCACCCTAAAGTTCCTGACCCAGAGCTTATGAGTGAGACTGTGGTACAGCGTGATTACAAAGGCATGGAGCACGTTCTACCAGCATACTCGGATCCTGGTTTCTGTAAGCTCATGTGGACACCCACCTCTGCTAGAGCAGCTCCTTCTCACAACCTGGAGGAATACGGACAGAAGAATGTAGGCGCTCTGCCCATGGTGTGACACATCCTCCCCCCACACACTAGCGTGACAACAAAGAACACAAGAGGGGAGAGATAAGCAACCTCTGGGGAAAGGGGGTATCTCAGTTACCCAGCATCGCTGCAACTAAATGGCTCTAACACACATTTTTTTCCCTCACAGTTTAGGAAGCGACAAGTTCAGATTCATGGTTCTGGCTCTAGAGGAAGACTTTCTGTCTGTCATCAGTTCTTGAGGAAAGTTCTTGTCTCTGGAGTGTCGGCTCCCGGACAATCTTCTTGCAGCTTGGCATCTCTTTCCCCATCTCTGCTCTGCTCAATTGTTTAATCTCTTTTATAGCTCAAAAGAGATTGGATCAAGACACACCTTACACTGATCTGGTCTCATTAACATAACGTAACAAGCCATTCCCAGATGGGATTAGAGCCACAGGCATGGAGGTTAAGATTTACATCACATATTTTTTGGAGACTATAATTCAATCTGTAACAGGGACTAGTGTGCAATAGACATCAATCTTGGAAGTCAGGTACACCTCTAGTCCTACTCTGAGGAGCTGAGGCGTGTGAGATCACACGAATGATTGTGGTGGTTTCTGTACAAATTGCCTGGTGTTGGATAACACGGCATGGTGGGTGATGCAAGCAGCGAATGGGCTTGGCTGCTAATCAAAAGGTTGGCGGTTCAAGTCCACCCAAAGGTACCTTGAAAGAAAGACATAGTGATCCACTTCCAAAAAATATCAGTCTTTTGGGTCAGGTGGTAGGAGATGGGGATAAGATTCTTATGATTCAACAGTGAGCAATTGTTAACATGACTAATTGCAACTG